TTTAAACCCCCCCCCCCCCCCCTCCCCCACCCAGTTAGGGACGGGGAGGGTGAGCACGCAACGATAGGTGAGAACTATTTTACTGACACATGCTGGGGAGAACCAGCATATGAAACGAAAAAGAAGTAAAGACAAGCATCAGTAGCGCCTTAGGACGGTCGGCGAAAACTGCGTGAGGTATGATGAGCAGCGGTCACGTAGGCTACGAGGCTTGCGACGCCAGCGGATATGTGGGCCGTCGTACGACTGGCGCTTCAGAATGCCGTTTGCGTATCCTGCGTTCCTCTCTAGTTCTGCTTGCATTGAGCCTGCTGTCAATCATCGCTGGCTTCACGTTTATTCATGTACGTGCGGCGTTGGAGGCAAGCTACGTGCTGACGCAGCTGCCGGTGCTTTGGCTGCGGGAGGTTCAGCTGCTGCGTGGCTGTCGCTCTCGCTGCCGCTCCTGCTGCTACTGCTTTCACTGCTGCTTCCGTTGCTGCTGCCACTGCTTGTCTTGCTGCTGTTTGAGCTGCTACAATTGCTACTGTCCCTACTGCTGCTTTTGCTGCTCTTGCTACTTCTGCCAGTGCTGTATTTACTGCCGCTGCTACAGGTATCACTGCCACTGGAGCTGTCTTTGTTCCTGCTGAGACTGTTGCTGGAGAAGTCGGACTCTTCTTCGTTACTTTGGTGGGGGTGTACTGCATTCATGGTTGCCATCGTGGCTGCTGCTGCCGATGCTTCGTTTGTTGCACTGGCAGAGAGTGACATTTCTGCATTTATCTCGGCATCGATATTTTTGGGATGCTGCCATCGTTTTAGGTGGTCTCTTAAAGCCTTGATTTCTTTTTGCACGAAGTGCAGCTGCTGTTTCTGTTGGCGTTGCTGTTGCATGCGCTGGTACTGTGACCAACTCTGATGGCCTTGTACAGTATACCCTTCGTTCTGCTGTCGCCACTCTTGCAGCTCACTCTTCAGTTCCCCTTTCCGGCGGCGGCTGTAGCGCAAGGCGGTGTCTACATCCTGCAGCAGCTCTTCTACTGCAACAGCTGCAGTTTCCGACAGTGGGGCTTGCTTCGACTGTAACAGTGTGTTGTGTAGAATATTTCGGAGACCCTGATGCGCCAGGAGCAGCCACAGGCAGCGAAAAACGTGCAGTACGTGCAGCAGCAAAGCAGGCACAGAACAGAACAGCAGTAGCGTAACAGCGCGAGCTGTGTGACCACATCGTTGCCTATCTTAGCGGATGCAGCAAGCCAATGTGCAAACGCAAGTACAATTCAGCAGCAATAAAAATGCCAGGGTACCTGCAACAAATTATTCCAAGCCTCTGCTGTGGTTCGGTTGAATATTAACACCCGGTTGTCCTTCTGGGGGCAGCCACTGCCAGGGATCGCTGCAGCAACAGCAGCGCCTGCTGCTGCTGTTGCTGCGCTTTGCTGCAGCAGCTGCAGCAGTGTTTCACGGCATAGCAGGAGTTGCTGGTGCAGCCTCTCCTCCTCTCGGCTGGAGGGCAAAAAGCACGGTGGGTGCAGCTGGCGCTGCTGCTGCAGCAGGAAGGCGTTAGCATATAGCAGCAGTGAAGAAACGTCGATTCTACGTGCCGCTTCAACAAACCTCCTGAGAAGGTCAGTTTTGCTCTTCGTTGATGCTGACACCTCCTGTGTCTCCTCGCGTTCCATTAGTGCTGCTGGTGTGGCAGTGCCCGTTGTGCGAGCAACGGTGTCTTCAGGCATGCCTGTGATCTGTCCCTAAAAGACATTAATAATATGCACCACTGCCTACAGACTAGTCGCCTGATGTAGCAATGAATAGGTCAGTACCCGTGCGCTGCAGCTGCCGTGGTGGTGCTAGTTGGTTGGCCGCTGCTCAGGGAATTCAACAGCTGCACAGTAGAGAATATTTAATTGGGTCGAAACATTGCACTAAAAGGCTTTGCATTTTTGTCCTATCGTATGGGTTCTTATCAACAGGGACTTCGGCTCTGCAGTTCCCGTCGGCTGCTATCATGGGGCCTTCCCGTCTTGTGCTGTGCCTAGATAAATCTATGCGCAGTCTAGGCGTGCAAAATGGTTGCATACATGTATGTTAGCACTATGCACGCATATTTATGCATATATGTTCTCGTTGTCTAACATCCTAACCCCAGATAAAGTTTCGCAATTGTATGAAGAAGCATCGCCGTCCGTACTGGGCAGCTCTGGCAGCAGTTCCTCTGCACGCACTAGACGATGGCGCAGATCATTGTTAGCACTTGCTGATATCAGTAGGGAATCAGATTTAAAAAAGAACCCTAGTCGCAAAATAAACGTAGCCGCAGGCATTTTGACTGTCGGCAACGGTCCTGTAATACGCGCCGCAGTCCCTTCCCCCCAGACCTTGTCTGAAGCTGTTAACTCAACCACGTGTGCATGTTCTTTTTCTTAAGCTTCGAGTTTCTTTTGCCCTTGAGGCTCCCTATCATTCTGTTAAGCAAAAGTTTTGGGGGGGATAAATACAGCTGTCTGCGTGCTTTTGAAGTTGGAGGGCTCTGTGGGTCATTCGGTTGTCGGCTGAAGCTGCAGTCCCAAGCTGCCTGGTACTGCCCTCGTTGTTCGCTCTTGTACATTTCCTCCTTATTGTTGTAACTCTGCCCCCAATAAACTCCCACTTTAGCGCGTGCTACCGCCCACAAGCGGCGGCATCGGACGACTTCCCAACCGGCGCCACTTCCCCATTGCTCTAAACTGCATCTTGCACGAGTCATCTCTCCCTTCACTCAGCTTGTGTGTGCAGCTGGAAAAGATTCCTCCCCACCCTCGCAAGCTAAGAAGGGCAACCGTCGGGGAGTAGTTGACTTACGCCAAGTATGACGAGACGATTGTAGTGGTGCTAAGCTGCGGAGTGGGAAATTCCCAGCTGAAAGCGGAACGTAAGTACAGCCCAGACAGCCAACGACTGTATGGAGCTCGCTTAGGGATGGGAAGCCAGAGTATTCAGCTACGGAGAGCCGTCCGCTTTGGGGGCGAACAGCACTCACCGTGCGACTGCTAAGGAGGCAGAATGAATGTCATTAAAATTGGGGCTGTAGCTGCAACATTTGGATTGCGTTTACCTCCGGCATGAAGCGTTGATGATATGCACCTCGGCTGCAAAATAGCCGAGCAAGAAGAAGGGGAGGAGCAACCCAGCTAGGGTGCGAGAGGGCAGAAGATGTATCAGTGCACTGTTTCAGATCGAATGGATGTGAGCGCGCAATGGCGACCCTTACAACCACAACTCCATGGGTGCAGAAGCTTCACCAGTGGGCGATCACGATCGGCCGATCTGAGACTACAGTCTTTGTGCCTGACCGTCGACCTTGCACTCACCCGTAACGCCTAGTGAGGTTTTGCTATTTCAGATACTTGGCACACACTAAGCCGGCTTATTGATATATTGGTTGGGGGCCTAGGCTGATGAGTGATAGGCAAAGAGAGCTACCTTAAACTACCTACGCAATTCGGCGGGCAGCCTAGGGGTGGATTTATGACTGTCCCGGCATATTGATGCCCTTGAACCTTCGGTCCTCATCTGTTGCAGCGATTCTGAGGGCTCAGTGCCGAAACACACGCGCGCGCCACGCTCATCCGCAGTATTGTTCGCAGCTGCTTGTGTAGGTCGGCGATTGGCTACTGCACTATGGTGGCTCAGTCCGGTAAAATATATGCGGGCTTGCTGCCGCAGTTGAGGCCTTTACTACGTAGGCTGTTATGTGGAAAATCACTTCCCCCAAAAAGCTGTAGCAGTTAAGTAACCCGACTCTCCGTTCTCCACCCTAAAAATCGTCGGGCAGTAGTCAGGTGCCCCTAACACTGCTTGGCATCAGCTTTGGTAAGTCTACACATATGCTTGAGCATGTATGCTTCACAATAAATGCACCGATCTGTAAAGCCTTGAATATCATGCTTCGATATATGGAGGGCACCAAGAAAAAGAAAAACACGAGACACATGAAAAAATACTGGTCAAATAGATGAGGTGGTTTTGGCAAAAGCTCGGTTCCCGGTCACACAACCTCCTGTGTCGTTTTTGATGTTGCATCTGGTGTTCGTACTTGATAAGGCGGAAGGCTGTTCTACTCGCCACTGCTGCTAATTGAATCCACACGCATTAGTACATATTTCCCCTTCACAAAGCAACACACGTCAGCAGTGGTTGGTGGTCCCGTTGGTGCTGCTACAGTAAACATAGTCTTGCAGGCATACTAGCAGGATCGCGACTGCTGCATAAAACTTTAGAATGAATCCCGTTGCCACGGTGTACTCCAAAAATTGATGCTAGAGATGCCGAAACGAAATTTAATGTAAACTCACCTGACTACGCAAGGCGTGACGCTGGGCATTCAAAACGGTAGAGAAACAACGTGCAGGCCGCCCCCTACATAAAATAGGCTTTGCAACAGTGTCACTGAATGCCCACACTCCAATCATATAAATACGGTAAGTTGGGCACGTAAACCATTGGACGGAACCATTACTTAACGGCCACCGATTTCTTTTGGGAGGCGTTCCTTCATTTGTCTTCCCAAGAACAATTTTTTCGATGGATAAACTAGAGCAGGTCGCAACTGAGAGATAAGCATTATCCCACAGCGCCTTTTCTGCTTACAGTTGAGAGCTCCCTGAAAGATGCCCATCGTGTGTACAAAAACAACAGTCCTGACGTATTTACGCTGTTCCGAAACCCGCTGAGGATCTAGTGAGATGTAGAACCCACGGAGGCTTCGCCACAGATGGAATGCACAGATGAGTCAATGTGAGTCCGACCAAGAGCTTCCTAGCGAGCGCATGTTGTCGTGTCTCCACGGGTCCCACAGACGAGACCTGAACCTTCTAGGGCTGGTTTCTTTGCACAGGAGCTCTTGCTTCAACTCAACAATTTCACGGGCACAAGGACGTCTTCCTGTTCCATACACTTTCAAGGCGGTAAGGAGCCGTTCCGCAAGAGCCACATGGTCCCGTGATTTTTCTGGGCGGCTTATCATCATCTCCGGAACAGTCAAAAGTTCATCCATGTAGGCGTCCCACCACAAGTGCATATTCATAAGGGTCCCCAAAACTTCACAAGCAGACCACACGTAATCTACCACAAGAAACCGAAATCCCAGCAGATTTACCAACTCTCCCGGAAACATATATTGCTTACCATCATGCCCATGTACTAGTTCGAAACTTACAAGCTCCCCGGTCAAGCGCATGACATGGAAAGCATCGTCAGCATCGAGTATCGGCTTCACGAGTAGCTCCCGAAGCGGCAGCATTATGCTGATGAGCCACCCACGATGGCGTTTCCCTACTGCCTCTGCATAGTTAAATGGCTTGAGTAACCTAAAATCACCGGGCTTCGGCAGCCGATAAAACAGGTGATTATGATAGTCTGTTTTTTGATTATGGTAGTCTGTTTTTCCACCGCGGCCTGGTTCTGGCGGTGGAGTTTCCTGTGTACGCTTGGGGACCTTCACGCAAGAGGCATGAGAAACAATTTTGCTGCTAGTCGGTTATAGTGACAAAACGCAATCGAGAAAGCAAGCAGAATACGTGCAGAAGAACCGGCCTCAGCTCATTGCGAACTCACATGCCCTGCATGAGTATCAACCTTTCCGTGCACGCTGCATATGAGTGCTGGGACTAACGAAAGGCTGGAGACGACGAACCCTCCCCCCGGATAGCTTTGAAAAGTTAAAATGAGGAAAAGTGGGCAAAGGATGTAAGTGGGTAGAACAGTATAATCAGATGAAAGCCCGCATGTCTCTGTTCTTGTTGCATTAGCATTGAAATCATTACCACTATTGTCTACATCAGAGGGCAATGGCTGGTGGGCTCGATGCGAGGACTCAATGCATGTTCCCTGCTACGGCCGTGGAGCTTTGGAGGAGTGATGCGGCTTACTGATCGCTTAGCAGCAGTCCGTTTCGGCGGCGGTTTCGGGGAACCGATCACGCTCACGGCTGACGCTTGCTCGTGGGCTAAGAGGCTAGTCGAGAGAGAAGAGTCATGACGCCCACTCGAAGGGATGAAACGTATAGCCTGAGCCCAACCAAAGACATCTACTACTGCCTATGAACGGGAATGGCAAAGTCCACTTGACCCGGACGCAGCGCAATGGATACAGCACAAGAAGGAGTGAAAGTGGGCGAAAACAGGCACAGAAGCAACCTTCAAACTACACAAGTAGGCTGCACGACTTGTGGAAGCGCTTAGCATGGCCCTTGTGAACGACAAATCTATTCACTGTAAAAAAAATACAGTGCAGAGCTGACGGAGCCCCCGAGCTGTGTTGATAGCTGCGGCTCGAACTCCTGTGGCCCCCAATGTTGAGCAGGCTGCGCGATTGGGTCTACAGAAGAGATCGTATACGAAGGCAACGCGATAGTGTATGATTTAAAGGGGCCTCCAGTGAAATGAGATGAGCACGCCTGCTGTGGCTGCTGAATGGTCTGGAGATCTATCTGCTGGCCACCACTTCCATAAGTGGGTAGTAAGGCGCCTGGAAGTTCGCCTGGGAGAATTTGGCCTCCAGATTGTTGCTGGCCATCCGTAAATTCGCGGGTTGTATGTACAGCCTGAACAGGGAGATCAAGGAGGAGCATGGAATTGCCCTGCGGTGCGAAGAATGGCAACTGCTCAGAAGCAACAGAAGCCCAGCCTGCACAGGGCCACATACAGAAGGACAGAAAGGCGGCAAGGGCTTTCATTGTTTTCAGGCAAGTGACGGCTATCGTGCAGATCAAGAGTGACCTAACAGTTCATTAGTAGTCACTACCTTGGCTGGGTAATGGGTGATTGCCATGACCCTCGTTTGACCAGTCTATGCCTCCTTTGGCCTGGTGGCCTGCCACGGTGTTAGCTACTGGCTGGGCAGTCCCAGCGATGTCAAACTGCTGCGCCGCGATGCTGGGTGCCGGTTCTGTTAATTTCACAAGTTGACGCGAAGCACCGTGCAGCTCCTCAAGCTCCTCTCCATATTCTTGTAGGAGCTCGTCCATCCACTGAATAATACCGCTCATGGTCTGCCCGTCTGGTGACAGTGCAGGATGTGTGCTGTGTGAGGCAGTTCCAGGCTGGGCAGTTGTAGGAGCATTGTTCTGAACTCCCGTTAACTGCAGGCCTTCCTGAGCAGAACTAACGTGACAACTAGTTGATGGTCTTGGCTGCAACATCTCCGGTGATTCAAAGCCATTCCCTGCCACCAGACCCACCGCCAAATCCATCGGAAACTTTTCTTGACGAGCGATCTTTACTCCACCCACCCCTTCTTCAAGTTGGGAACTACTGGTATTTCGTCTTTTTAGAGCAGAACGCGCTTCACCAAGTCCTTCTTCTGAGATGGAAGGGGATGGTGGCGAGGCCTGGTCCCAATCTGTTCGAAGGGGGCTCCACGATGCCCACAACTCTTCGCAAAGCTCTTCAGTATCGCTTCCCTTTTGAGAATCCGTGCTTTCTCCGTCAATGCTAGCGAGGCGGCGCAGCATTGGAGCCGGCGGCGGCGCTCTCGCCCTCTGGAGTACGCAAAAAGAAACTGCCAAAATAATTGGCAACAGCAACGCGGTGGCAACACGGAAGAGAACCTTCGAATGCAGTCCGTTGAGTCCTACGGAGGGAATGGAAGCCCCAGAAGACTTCACACTGGTGTTGTTGCTGACATAAAGACCTCCCACAGCAGGCACGGCATCTATCGGCGTCTCAACGACCCCAAATGGAGTAGTCCCCATGGCGTTGTGCATTTCCGAGAGAGCGGTTGAGCTTATTGAGGTGCATACACATTTATCCTGTGAGATTATACACACCGCGTGTGAAGTATGACAAATGCACGGCAGCCAGCATTATGCAAACCGAACTGTTTCCAGCCTGGAGGAGCAAAGTCTGCACCGGCACTGCTCCGTCCAGGCACCATAAGCCACACGTTTGTAGACAAGGGCAATTTCACAGTAGTATTTTACTTCGTTTTAAGAATGAAAGCTACCTTCGATTCGATTCGCTTGCATGTCGGCGGCTTCGAGTGGAAGCATCGACGCAGTGCCGGGATATGGTGCCCGCGGATTCCCTTTGGACCCAGAAAGAAGCGCCTAAAACAAATTCAACTGTAAAAGAGATAGAATGCACAAAGCGACTGGATCTTATGGTTTATACACTCTACGGGCCACGTTATGGCATGGTGGTCACTGTGCAGCGGGCCCAGGAGTGCTACGCTGCAGCGCGCAGCACTACAACGTTGCGTGCAAGGGGCCTTTAAAGGCTATTTAATTCGGAACCAGTACAATTACCGTATAACTAGGAACAAAGCAAGCAATGAAACTTTGTTTTACAGCAGAACAAGTTTAGCTCATAGTGCAGCTAGGCCCAGGGTTAGGGGCTGCCCATGCCAATGGTCGTCCGTACGCCTCGCACGCTCGTGCAGCACGATTTCCTTTTTGAAGGGCAGGGGTTCCGACGGAAAATATTCTCTGCTTTTAAATGTGCACTTCTGTGTCTTTAGTGAATAGACACAATGCACTTACGTAGTCCGCACGGGAACATCATGCCGGAGCGGAGAGGATCTGAACTCCTATAGAGAACTCCAATAGGGCATATTTCGGCACTTCCGTATTTTGTTTAAATGTGTCAAGTTGCAGCAGTTTTTTTCTTAGGCCATAATGCCGATGTCAAGAGACAACTTCAGATCCTTAGGTAACTTCCTACACTGGGACCGAGCCAACGCATTGCCGGCAAACCGCCCCCTAAGACGGAATTGACCGTTGACCGTTGGATCGTGAGCAGTACAACAGATAAGAGGCGACCCAGCCCGAGCAGTCGACAATAACTTCTCCGCTAATCTTCCATCGAAGATAGACTGCAGAAGAAACCATTTCTCCAAGTACCATCCGGCTTGAGTGCAGATTGAAAAGATGACAACGTATTCATTCTCCCATGAGACACGTCCCACCCCGTGTGCAGTCAGGTTAGGTGAGACAGTTTAGGCTAGCTTAGGTGAGATGCGGCATAAAGTGCACATAATCTGGAATGAGTAGGCAAAGCAGCGCATGCATTTTTTTTTCATGTTTCCCCGTTTCAAATGCTCATTCGAGGCACGTGGCACTAATTATGGCATAGGAGATTTCCCTGGATGAACGACTGCACTGTTGATTAGCGCGTTAAGTATTCCAATCAAACTGAAACTCTTCTCGGCGTAGGCCCGCTGAAGGAGATACACTCGTGAGTACTACTGGCTGTGTAGACCTGTGAGGCCTTCGTGCGACCATTTGTGCTGGACTCAGTTGCTTTTTGGCACGTTGCATTATAATTGTCCATATTTCCGTGTAAGCTTTTGTTTCAACGCCGGTAGCAATGGTGCCTGCATCTGAAAACTTCACTGGTTCATAGGTGGCGGAATGCGTCTCTAAATGCCAGAGCAACAAAGTCACGCTTGTGCTAAGTTAACACGAGAGGAGGAAATAATCCGCAGTCTGTGTTCGCCCCTTCAACTTATAGCGCACATGTTGCGCTTTGTTGGCCCTATTACGTCCACGAGAGCCGAATGGGGCTCAATATTGACTGCCTTTCGCTGGGGCCTCCCACAGTATACATCGAACTCCAGATTGGCATTCATTACAGCGTTACTACTACTGGTTGTTACGTCTTGCACTACAGAGTAGAATACGGACAAAATCGTTTATTTGCCCTTGCGTAACTGGCAGGCCAAGTCCTTTTAAGCGCAAGTTCTATTGAGGAACAAACCCAGTTGCATTATGTACGGCGACGCTCTCCCTTGTATTATGGGCACTCGACGGCGCTCGGCATTGTGGTTCCGCATTTCCGTGGCTCTATTTCCTCCCGCCCCCGGTCTTAGAAGGACAAAATGCACCTGCTATGTTGGAGAACGCAAAACAGCTACTTTATATCCCCGTAAGATCAGCTAACTGCTTGCCTGCCTTTGACAGCGAAGCCGGACAGTAGCACTACACAATGTCCTCATGCAACAAGATGCAGGCAAACGAAGTAGCCAAAGCCCTGAACAGAGGACTTCAGGGAATGTTAAATATTCATTCAGCCTTTTCCAATGGGTCTCTGCACCTCCCTTCTCCAGAGGGTTGGCTCTATGAACATTGCCGGCGGAGAACTGCAGCAATCGATGAGGAACTGAAGTAGCTAGATGAAAGGTGATACTGCAATGCTTATCGCGGCAAAGGCTTTTCCCTTAATTGCAAATACGGATGCCTAGCCAAAGACTCCAAGAAGTAATATCACCTTCTACACTTCGTCACAGCGAAGGCCCGTTGGATGTTGTGGTTGGCAGGCACAGCGGTACAGCAGCCTCTGTTGCTTCAACAACAGTTAGGCTTGCTCTACCTATATGCATATGTTGATACATATGCATGTAGGTAGAGCAAGCCTAACTGATGGCGCATACTGCTAGTGCGGCTTCACGATAGAACAACCACTCAGTCAGCTGGTTAAGTTTGTCTTGGAAACGACTCCCAAAAAGCGAACGCGAAGGTAGCGGTGCTGAGATACAGGGAACATGTTCGGTGAAAACTGAAGACAAGGCCATATGCCTTTCCCGTCCTCTCGGCCCGCATAGACGCCCAGCAGCCAGAGACTTCAGGTTGCAGGTGCACTAGTAAATAGAGAAGCTTATCTCCTTTTCAGCAGATTCAAGGGCCTTTGAACTAAATGGCATGCAGGTTGAGAACTGTCCCCGTAGCCATATGTGTATTTGGAACCCCTCTGTCCGGATCGAATACATGGTTTCTCCTATAGGCATCGCCAGTCCTTTGTTGTCCAGCAGCTGCAAAACGCCCCATCTAGAACGAAGCTGAAACTTCCAAAGGCCCAGGCGGCGATCTCAGTAAAGCTTGATGCAACTTTAAGCCAAGGCAGTATACAAGGCTTCTTTGAGGTGTAAAGTGAAAGCGCCCCTACTGGCCACTACAGTCAACGCCGCTTCTTCCCATTAACGCGGCTACCGCCGTATGGAATTGTGCTGCTGGGTGCTCTCCGCACACAAGCTAGTCCCTTCTATGGTTGGTGTACACCACTAACTTCGAGACTGCATTTCGGCGCAGCTATACATAGCACCACCTGGCAACACGTACTGGTTTCTTGTTTTCCTCATGTTTTAAGCTATAGGGTGTCGATTTCAACAGAATGAGGTTCTGCAACGCCAAATGCATGTTGGCAAAATAACAGTGTAATCTTATAGGGAAAAAGCCATTTAACGGATTGCCCGTCGCAAAACCAAAGAAAAGATGGCTTTCACTCAACGTGCAATGGACTTCGCTCAATGTGGGTCACTTGAAATCACGCTAATCTCTGAAGGAAGGCAAGGTACGCTTTGTGCGTTAGACTGTTGTGTTGACTGGCGAATCAGTCAACACAACAGTCTAGCAGACAAAACGCGCAACTGTATTCCCCATGTTCACAGGGAAGATCACTGTCTGGAAGAAAGCAACCAACTGAGTTTCAACAAGCTATCAGTGCCAGTAAAATACAGAAGTGTGGTGCAAACCTTACCAAAGTGTATTGTCGAAGCTGAAATCAACTTTTGCAGCTGCTCCGAAGCTGCAGGAATCCATTCAAACAGAATTGAATGCGCTGAAGAGGCTCATCCCATCGGAAATCATAAAAACGCATTCATAGAAGAACTCGCCTCACTCCGTCTCCTTAGCTTGTTGAGAGGCAAGTGGATAATATCCAAGCTTCATGATTTCTTGTACGACAGCGAGTAATGCGCCCTCACTGCTCTCCACTGTAACATAGTCAGCTGCCTCCTTGGCGATATCCTCACCGTCCCCGACAGAAACTGCTACGCCCGCTTCTTTGAACATGGGCAAGTCGTTATCCGCGTTTCCCAGGGCCAGGACATCCCCAGAATCAATGCTCAAACAACTGGCAAGCTGAAGCAGCCCGGAGCCCTTGTTGAATTCAGACCGATACGCACTGAAGGCAGAAGCCGCCCACCTCGCAAATCCAAGCTCTCCGTCAAATTCTTCTTTCAAAAGCGGCAGCACTTCGTCAATCTTCGCGGGGTCGGCTTTCACCACTGCTCTATAGAATAAAGTGTAGGTTGGGTTTCTCAGTCCTAGGACCGGCCCGGGCGGTGTCTTCCCAAAAGAGACATTATCGAGTCCATGAGTGGCAAAAGACGTCAGAAGTCTTTCCTTCTGGCTACAAGTCAGCGGACCATCTGAGATAATATTTCCATCCCCGTCCACTACGTACGCGCCATTCACAAACACCCCAGGAAAGCCGAAATAGCCAATTGCCTCTAGCGTATCGAAGCCAATAGCGTCTTCGGTCGCCTTCGGATCTTTTCCCGTAGCAAATGCAACTGTAATGCCTAGCGTTTTCGCCAGGATAAACCCTTCGATGTTCTGGCGCGCAAAAACACCCTCCGGTGTGGTGAGGGTTCCGTCCACGTCCACAACAATCAACTGGATTGGACGAGTACGTCTTGGGAAGCTTGTCTTTTGTACATCAGCAAACGCCGGAAGTACAAAGAATGCCGCAAAAATTAAAGGCAGGCGCATGCAAACCCGAGACAGTGCCATTGCCGCGGGTGGCGGAGGTGCTGTGGCCCGCCAATTGAAAATTGCGCGAATGAGGTGGAAAGGAGTGGAGTTGAACACAAGCAACACGCACACCTGTCCAAAATGGGATACTATACCCGAGTGGCTTTTTCCTACGATATGAGCATGATGGTAATGGTAACTAGCGTCTTCCTCCCCGACTCGTCTGGGATCGAATGGGGTTAGCAGGGCTGGGGAGGCTAGATCGTAGTCGAGACCTACGCAGCTCCTAGTACATTTTCGGCCATTTCCTGCAGGAAAAAAACTCCATTTATCCCACGTAAAATCTTACTAGCGTGGCTGTTTACTTCCTCCCGGTGGCTGAAGCTGTGGGCGATTCTTCAATGCTGAAACTCCTTTAGCGTGCGGCGGGCGGCGTGGTCGTCGTGGTGGTGGATGCATTTCGTCGAAGACACACCATATTTCTAACTAATCAATTCATGCAGGCGATCATCTGCATTCGATATTCAAGGGTACGATCTTCAGGGGTGCGTTCGATGTAGCTCTCCGCTATACGCTAGCCCGATTGAGTGGACTCCTGTGCGTGCGTGGGCGATTAACTTTTTAACGTGACATGCTTGCTTAATGAGCAGAAACTATGAAATTTTCGAGGACTAGTTGCCATGCTTGGTGGCTTCAAGGGAAAGCTTAACATGAACCTTCGTCACCTGGTGCACCACCACTACAACGAGTGTCCGCAACCTTACCTGAGGAGTGTGGGCTGCAATTGAGCCAGAAGACTAAATGTGAGAGTTACTAAAGAGCAGCTGCTATCTCCTGAAATCCATGGACGTTCCGGGCACAGCGGCTCACCGGCTGGGGCGTCAGGCCACCTCTTAGAGTGGTAGTGGCTTGACGTGAGTTGCAGCAAGTCACGTTGCATGCTGCAAGGCACCTCATTAGAGAGCACGTGAATGTTCTCTTGGTGTCTGCACCAACATTGTAGACAATCGTACTTCTGCATGCGTGCAGGCTGCCCAGTAAGGCCACGATCTCCTTACCTGTGACGGTTTTCCTGTGTGCGCGTGTTCGGTGTAGGTGACGGAGCCTTCGATGCTGTTAAGGGAAATATTCAGCCTGCTTCTGACCTCCTCTCGAACGAGACCTGAGATGCGTTTCTACACCTCCCCTCTGAGCACGACGAATAGCAAATTTGTTGGTACCCGGAATGCTGTCCCGCAGCACCTTTCGGTGCATATTCCTACCCCCTTTGCCCAACCCCTTTCCTGCTTTGCCTCTGCCTGAGACTATCGAAGTTTTCAAAGAAGAAGAACAACAAAATGCACGCAATAACTATTAGGCAGGACAGCAACAGCCACTGAATAACAAATGTGAGGCCCATGTCACGCTGTCTGCAGCATGGTATGCTGAATAGAAGGCAATGCCGAATTAGCTAATCAGAAAAAATATCCCCTAAACCACTAGAAGTTGTTTCAATAACGCCTTTTGCCTGAACGCGCGGTGATACCTGGCTTTTTCACCAGCCTGGCCTGACCGCGTGTCTATGCCACCCTGTGGCCGCAATGAATTCCGGTCCAAAACAAAAGCAAATGAGGCTTTGTCTACGTGCATTTGTTGAATGGTCCGCTCTGCATTACCGCTTCACTCTCTGTAGCACTAGCAGACCTTGGCCTCCAGAGGAAAGATAGGGATGTGCTAAAGGTTAAAAATAAGTCCGGCTATTCAGGGGTGGCCGCCACTCGTGCACGCCTGCACCGGCTTTCAAAAGTTCCTTGCTCTTGCATCTTACTGCCTCAGCTTCACCAATGAAATTGCTCGCATTGCCACCCCTCCAACAGATTTACTGAAGAAGGACGAACAACTCCATTGGACCGAAAGCAAAGAAACAGCTGCTAGAAGGCTCATCGCTGCCAGTACTCGCGCCCGTTGGTTTCAGCAGTTCTTTCTTCCTAGCAGCCGGTGCCAGTGATACACCAGTTGACGTAATAGTCTTTCAGAAAGCCAAGGACTCGAAAAAATACCAAATAATCGCGTGCTGGTCACACCGTTTTACAGAAAGAAAGCGGGAGTGTCCTGCACGAGCGGAGCAGCTCTACGCTTTGGTAAGTCCGGAAATGCCGGCATTACTAATATGGCAGGCCATTCACCGTTCAAACCTGTTATCAAACCGTGAGACACCCGAAGGGAAATTTTTGAGCCTCCGATGTAAAGGAGTTAAATGGTAGCTTTGCCGGTTTTCGCATTATGAATCCGCAGGGCCCTTCGTTGTTCCTCCGCGTATTAATGCGTTGGTATTATCTCCGCGTTGACGCGCGCGCCCCAAGGGTGGGTTAATACCGTTATTGTTGCTTTCCTAAAATTTGGCAACAAAACTATCGAAGTTTTCTCGAGCCCTACAAAACGCCAGCAACGTCATGACAGTCAGGGGCAACTGAAGGAGACTGAGATTTTGGACAAACGTGTAACGAATCGCAGATGCCATGAAAAATTACAGTCATACGTAAAATGTTCAGGAAATCGACAGTCCGAGAGGGATTCTGAGGATCATTTTATCAAAATCATTCATCGGGAGCGCATACGTGCTCTTCCTGATACAGCGGCAGGGATATGCGGCATGATTGTAGGCAGCCTCCAACCACCGTGTGCAAAAACTAATATGACAACTAATGGTGGTTTGGCGACCTTTTGATTTCAGGGCACGGAGGGACTGAAACTCACCCTCACCAGCGGCTGGACAAGACGCTAGCCAGTAGCTCCATAGGCTTGCTTGCATCACCTGGCCCTCCTCGGCATGGATCCCCAACAATCCAATTACAAAAGTAGAATGTGCTGTTGGGTTCAGGCGGATTTCCAAATTTCAGATGACAGGGGCACAGATGGAACAGTGAGGTGCACAACGAGCGAAAAGGGCTGTTGCTGATGAGTGAGCCCGCAGTGCCTCCTTTGCCTAGAGTAAATTAGATAATAAAAAGCCTCTTAGCAGAGCCAAGTACTTCTCCAATCGGAGTGGCCTCTTGTGAGTTTCCTAGTTTCCACTGCAGACTATCTCGGCCTAGCGAGCAACCCTTGCGCCCCAGCGGCTAACAGTAAATGCAAACACTACTAAGGCCTGAGTTGCATTTACAATAACAATGGAAAACTGCCCCTAGGGCAAAAGTGGTAGGGAGCGTTCATTAAAGACGGTGTCCGCCCCAATCCGTAGCTGTAGCGAGAGTCCTCGATACTATCCGAGAACCGCTGTGAACTGCAACAGAGTCAAAATACTTTGGCTGCCTAGATTGTTCCAAAAATCAGCAGCACTGCTTCCCAGTGCTCAGATGCCCTACGCACAGCAACGCAAGTGCTTGGAAGTGGGGAAGGGGTGGCGTTCTGGGCCCCGCAAGTAGGCACAGCCACCCCCGCTTTTCTGCACCTGTCAGAACTGTATACAGTTGCTAAATACTTACGTGTCCCTTAGTATGCAAGCGGCAAGCCAGTAAAAGTGCGTACACCAACGCCGTAGACACTACGCTATAGCTGGCCCAATGCAGACGACAAAATTGGAAGGTTGGAGTTGAAGCAGGGCTGGTAGTAACGGTTCGTTACACAGTATAAACAATAGCCTTTAGGTGAAAATGGGGTCACTACCCTAGATATAAGTACGCTTCACCTGCATCGGGGGAGTTTATCTATGCTTGCACATGGTGTTGCTTCGCAACAGCAGTTTCAGCAAGAAGCGCAGCATGTATAGATGGGGCAGGTCCTGTGTTGTAGTGCACACGCACTACAATAGAACTGAGGTGGAGCCTTCAGAGACCATGTTAGCGGTGAAAGAACCAATACATTAGGAATAGAGATAAAGGGTAACACTTTCGATGGAAATGTAACAGTTTGTAGTCACGAGTGCTCGGCAGTCTCGCCAGGCTTGGGGCTGGCTATGAGACTGACGGCTGTCCGATTCAAGGCAGAGTCAGACAGCGCAAGCGATCATCAAGAGAAGATTTCCCCATTTAAGTCTAATGAACTCGAATGCGTTTTGGAAATTAATAATTGATTAAAGGGAATGTTTGGGGAACATATTTAGGGGATAGATGCTTGTGTAGCGTGTGCATCTAGTCAGGTGCACTTAGGTGGCATACGCATTGACAGCGAAGTCCAGCTATTTACTACATCTACCCATCTGTTCTCGGAACCTGTGTCACTGTGCTCAGGGTACGTGGGACTAAGCGGGACGGTCAGCCGTTTTCCGACCACTTTCACTCTAGATGTTTCAGGCTAATTGCAGTTCACGCTGATCTGGCCTAAGGCCGAGGACTCATGCTGATCGACGTGGTCAGGGAAAGCTTGAGCAAAATGCCGTGAATGTTTTGGTTTATCTGGATCTGGGATATAGAAGGTGAAGGGCACTGTAGAGGGATCCAAAATGGAATTCCCTTTTTGAGGTATATATTGCACGAATTATCTCCAAAAGATTGCTGTTACAACATGTATTTAAATAGTGATGAAATGCACCCTTCTACACTAAGAATAACTCCTATGGATTCAGTTTTTTGCAAACGGAGCATCTGATTGAATCTACAGATGCATCCAAAAGATTGAAGTACATGAGCTGCCAAAGGTTAAGCAGCCAACCTGTCGTCCAATTTGCTCCTGAATTTCTGTCCATTGTCGCCACAGTAAACAAACCCTAGTGCAGAGCAGCATCTAATTTGTATTCGTTTCTATTATTCAATATCATAACCGAGTGGGCCAGGGTTGTGGTCAGTCATCCACATTCCTGGACACAAGCTTCATTTTTCACATCCTTGGACTATTGGAAGCGGTTGTTCGTCTGCTTCTCACAGTTTGTATCTTACACAGCAGTCAGGAGCGGCACTGTAGTTAGGTGAGCCCAGTTTAGCTCTTACGTGCGTGCCCCTGGCCCACTAAAGCGACAAAGAACTGAAATCTAAGCATAAAACAGTCAAACAAGCATAAAAAGGCAAAACTACTACTTGCACAATTCTTTTTTTCTTATTGGGGACACCTGTATTTTCTTGTGC